GTAAGGCAGGAGGCCTCCTTGGGCTGACACAGCCTCTTGGAGGAAGTAAAAATTTTTGCACTTGATTGCCAAGGGAAAGTGCTAACTCACACGTTGGGGAAACAAATTCCCTCTCTTTCCTGTTTGCCAACCACTGTAGTCTGAGGAAGACCGTAAGAATATTCTCAGGCTGCAGGATCTGGTGGACAAGCTGCAAATGAAGGTGAAATCCTACAAGAGGCAAGCTGAGGAGGCTGTAAGTATTGCTTGTAGTGGTAACAAACATTACTTTCTGAGGAGGAATAGAAGTCATATGGGATATGACTACAAGTTTTTTGGAAAGTGTAAAAACTGGTGAACAATGATGGACTTCAAGTGCAGAGAAAGGAAGGTCAGTCATCTTGGAATAGTTTAGTGTATGCCTAGTAGAAACTCCTCCTTGCAAATCTTGCAACAATGGTTTACCCATAAGTAATTTAATTACCCTAGGAATATAATCCTGAGAGTATGGCTGACATTGCTTCATTTTGGTCATGCTCCTGTCAGGGATAAACTAAGGGATATCCTGCAATCTTTTGTATACAGGAGGACAGACTGACAGACACAGCTCACTACCAGTCTCTCAGCTGATAAATTTTTGAGTCAGGTTCCTTCCTTCATAGTCCAGTATAGACACGTTTTGCTGTACTATGAGGAGTAAATGATTTGTGAGAGGGAGATGTACAGGTGCTGACTGACTCCTCTCCTTAAAGTTCTTCACCTTATATCAGAGAGTGCAAATCTGGGACACTGAGCCAAAACAGGAGACAGAAATGCTTAGCTCATCTACTGAAGTGGAAATAGTTTCACTTTCTTCTGCAAAGCAACTTTATTCATAAGACAGTAATGACATATATGCAGACAGTGACTGGAAGAGGAGGGTGGATTTTGGGGAGTGTTGTACAGCTACAGAAGAAGAAGAAGGATATAGGCAGCTACCTGACAGTGCTGGATAAAAAAGAGAAGCTATGCTCACCCAGTGGGGAGTGGCAGGAGGGCACAAGTATGTCCTCCCTGAGGATACCATATAAATTCACCTTTGGGGAGGGGAAAGGTTCTTTCTTGATGCTACTGCTCTTTCTTAGCCCTTACCTTTTGGTGTAAAGGATAACAAACTGCAGCCCAAACAGCATTTTCTTGACAGCTAATAACAGAAAATGCTGCACTGTTCATCCCTCTTTGCACATTCCAGGAGGCAGAACTGAGATAACAATCCAAAATCTGTTTTAGTTGGTTTGGATGGGATACTCTAATAAGGGAGGATAAGAAGATCTGTGTGAGGTTTCTGGGTCAGTGGTGGCAGGTGGAAGATAAAAGGTCTGTGCTTTCCCCTGGGGAACAGCTACAACTGAGTAAGGCTGAGGCACAGGAGGAGTGAAACCCCTGCCCTGGGCTCCTCATCACCGACTCCCTCTCCCCACACAGGAGGAGCTGTCCAATGTCAACCTCTCCAAGTTCCGCAAGATCCAGCACGAGCTGGAGGAAGCCGAGGAGCGGGCTGACATTGCAGAGTCGCAGGTCAACAAGCTCCGAGTGAAGAGCCGGGAGTTTCATAGGAAGATAGGAGAGGAAGAGTGAGGATGTCATGAGGCAGGGAAGGGACCTGAGGGCTGCACAAAATGTGAACCTCTCGATCACTTTCTCCTATAGTTAGTCTTTGTACCCACCTCAATGTCTAGAGAATAAAGACCATAGATTCCTCTGCATATGCACTCCGAACAGTGCCTTCTTTGTGTTTGGTTTTGGTTGGGTGTGGGGTTTTTTTTTGTTTGTTTTTTGTTCTTTTTTCTGATCAAGCTTGGGATATTGCATTGCAGAACAAGTTTTTTTACTTTTCCTTCCTGGGTGAAGGGAGAAGCTCATGCAAACTCTGGATGGAGGACCCACAAACTTAGAGGCTGGCCATTCCTGTGGAGACTACTGGTAGTCCAGCCTATGCTCTCTTCTGTCTCCAGCAGTTCCTTGCCCTGCTCCTGCCCTCACATACTCTTAACTCTTGTCCTTTCAGCACAGCTTACTTCCCATGGGACAGGCAAGAGAGGGTGATCCCTTTCCTTTTTCCTTTCCCTGCTTTTGTTTGTGATCCTGGCAGTCACAAACACTAAACATCAGCCTCTGAGTAAGTTCTCACAAGTCACAGCACACCGCACCATGAAGGAGCGACAGCTCCTCGGCCGAGATGACTTTCGGCACACAGAACACTGTTACGGCATATCACCAGTGCCCCAAGCTGTGCCGTCTCTCTTACCCTAGATGCCCTCAGCTGCTCCCACCACCTGCTCCTAGTTTCTCTGCAGTGGACAAAATGCTGAGCCCTGCCTGGGGCCACATGCTGGCAGGAGAGCCCCTTAGGGCCCACCTCTTTCACACCTCATGGCACCAACACACCTCCTCAACACACCGCCTCAAAGGTCAGCCTTGTCACCTCTGCACAACAGGCTGCTTGTGGCATTGCCTCAGGCGAGAGAAAGGAAGAAAGCTGATGGGTATACCCGTCCGTTCCTTCCTCGCATACCTGTACCTTGCTCTTGGCCTACCTACAGGCAAAATGGACAATACATTTGGGGGAGGAAAGGAAGGGGATGAGGGCGGAAGGGATGGGAGAAATTGTCAAACACTTTTTCCTTCATTCAGACCCTGATCTGAAGAGCAGAGGCACAGTGGGCACGTACAGCTGCGAAGTCTCACGTGCTCTATCAGCCGTCTCAGCTGGAGTATTCCGACACATTAAGCCTTGCCTCTAGTTTGGGTGCAAGGCACACAGACAGCCCAAGATGTGTTAAAGACAAGCCCACAGATGTCTGCCTAAGCTGATGTTTTCATAGAACCGACAGCTCTTGGCTTCCAGGTAACTTCTGTCCCTTATTTTCAGGGAGACCACACAGCTTTGGGGGATTTTCTCAGAAACCTCAAAGACTGCAGGGCTGTGTATACAGCAAATCAAACACAGGTTAGCGGTAACTGAGGGCTATTAAGTTAATCTGGAAATCCTTTCAGCAGCATCCACTTACACAACTGCACCCACTGTTTCAGCTCTTCTCCTGTCGGAAGCATTCGCTGCCAGTCGCCCCGGCTGACTGCAGGCTGCAGGAGCCCTCGATGCAGACCAATATGTGAAGTGCGTGAGAAACGCATTAGCAGCAGCTGAGGAGGGAAGTGCAGCTGGCACTAAAAGGAGAGAAGCAGCAGACCCAGGAGCTGAGGCCAGGGTATGTATGGACGTTGAAAGCTTGTGGCAGTCCAGAGCTTTCCACCTCTGTCTACTCTACAAGCGCTAGTATTCAAAGGCAGAGGTGGGTCCTCCATGGAGCACTGAGCCTAGCAGGGCCGCAAGGATGGGAGTGGGGCTGGTATTGTGGGCTGAAGGGACGCAGGCTGTGCAGAAAATGATTGTGCCCAAGCCTGAGGCAGGTAGTCCCTGCGTGCTTTCCACTTTGATTTGCTTACCATGTTTCCAAGGGAGAGCTTGCCAGCGGAATTCCTTGCGGTGATGGGAAGTGGTAAGGACTGAAAGGAGGTTGTAGCGAGGTGGGAGTCAGCCTCTTCTCCCAAGTAACAAGTGACAGGACGAGAGGAAATGGCCTCAAGTTGCACCAGGGGAGGTTTGGATTGGATATTAGGAAAAGTTCCTTCACTGAAAGGGTTATCAAGGACTGGAACAGCCTTCCCAGGGAAGTGGTTGAGTCACCACCCCTAGAGGTATTTAAAAGACATGTAGTGCTTTGGGACATGGTTTAGTGGTGGATTTGGCAGTGCTGGGTTAACGGTTGGACTCGAAGGTCTTTTCCAACCTAAACGGTTCTGTGATTCCGTGGTACTGTCTGCTTGGTCTAAGCTTGCAGAAGTCAATGCCAGTGGCTCAGTCTCCAAAAAGAGGCTCACACTTCTGGCAAGTTGCAAACAACAGCTCCATGGCTGTACGCCTCTGACAGCAATAGCCACAGGGTTCTCAGCTTACCTGGCTCCCAAGTGCAGCCTCACCAGCACAGCAGCTCTCACAAGGAAGGCTGGCCTGCCTTCCAGTGTCACTAGTGGGCACTGGCAAGCAGAACCTCTGTCAGTGCTGTCTGAGGAGAGCAACAGGAGACGGTTCTTTAGGAGCAGACCTCAGCTTTTAATCACAAGGACCTTAAGAAAGCTACCCAACACCTTGCAGAGATGCCAGACTAGTCCTCCCTTCTCACGGCACTGCACAACTTTTGCCCGTGGCTCCCTAGCAGACTCCCAACCTTGTTCAACCCTCCTCATCCCCTGTAGTCTTTCTCCTTGCCTGACAGCGTGCATTGGTCTACCACCACAGTCAGGGTCTCTCGTGGTGAGCCTTGCCCACCCAAACCCACCTATGAGCTGACTGCTCCTCTTGCGGGGCTTAAGAATCTCTAGCCATACCTGCAGGCATCTCCAAAGCTTCAGGTGGGGCTGGGTAGAGTCTAGGTGAAACACAACGTCCATGAGTATCCGTGTGAGCAGTAACGGCTTGTACAAGCACAAACTTCTGAGACTCTCCGAAATCCTGCTTTACAGAGCCTGCACCCACCCTTGCCTCACACTGCCTCCGCTGTGGAAGCTTGAGGATGTGTCATCAGAATGAAGGAATACAGCCCACAAAGCCAGGCACAGGGAAGAGAGAAGGTGGCGGGCGTGAAGAGGAGTGAGCAAGCCAAAGGCTCCTGGCCACTCTGGTACGTGCAACACCTGGAGGTAGTTTCTTTGATGACTTGTACAAAAGAACTGTCACAAAGGCCATAGGTGGGAAAGGGCAGGCAAGTCGCTGAAGAAGAGCTCTCACATCACAGGTGTAACTGTGTCTGCTCTGACCTATCGTAGCCTTCTTTAGACTTCGTTTTGCAAAGTCAGCTCTTTCTTCCTCTAGCCTCCTGCGTGTTTCACTCGCACGCAGTTGCATGCCCCCT